CAGTGTAAGAATTAGATTTTTCTGCTGACAAACTTGTGTCCGTCCCTCAACGGGGTTCGAACTCACACCTTTGATCCACTACAGCACCAATCGATTAGCCTCATGTCCAGCGCTCTAGACCACTCGACTACATCCGCTATATTAAAACATAACATTCGCAGTCGTAGTGTTACTTTTTCACGGAAGGCGAATCTAGAGATAGACATAAGACATGTGTTTTAAGCGTGTGAAGATGTTATATTATTATTTTATACACAATGTATTGTTATATGTCAGCAATCTAACTCAACAATTATTATATACCGTATGGGATAATGAACCAATTCATTATACAGTCACTAGAAATAAGTACATCATACAAACAAGACTAAACAAGTGACAACCATACAATATATATGCCCACTGGATCTCAGTGTGTTAGAGATACATGGTTAATACAAATATTTATGTAAATCTGAAAATTACACCCAACAGTGTTAGAATTAGATTTTTCTGCTGACAAATTTGTGTCCGTCCCTCAGCGGGATTCGAACTCACACCTTTGATATACTACTTCACCAATCGCTTAGCCTCATGTCCAGCGCTCTAGACCACTCGACCACATCCGCTTTATTATAATATAACTTCAATAGTCATAGTGTTATCTTGTCACGGAAGGCGAATCTAGAGATAGACATAGGACATGTGTTTTAAGCGTGTGAAGATGTTATCTTATTATTTCATACACAATGTATTTTTATTTTGTCAGCAATCTAACTCAACAATTATCATATACCGTATGGGATAATGAGCAAGTTTATGAACAAGTTTGAATTGAACACAACGTTCAAACCTATGATTGCGTTGGATTAAAACCGCAATTTTTTTACGTGTGCATGTTAAACAAATTTGGTAATCTCTTCAGTGATGTAAGGGATCGAAACAGTATTTGGAAAGCCATATAATTTACCTCACTTTAAAATAGACTCTTGAATTTTAAAGAATCGAAATAGGATGAACGGATTATATAAACCGGAGGGAAAATATATTACAAGCCCAAACGAAATAAATATAAACAAGTATAAATTGAAAACAACGTTCAAACCTATGATTGCGTTGGATAAAAACCGCAATGTTTACACGTGTGCATGTAAAACAAATTTCGTATATATCTACATATACATTACAAGTTTAAAAGGGTACAACATTACCAAAAATAACAATAAAACGATCAATATGTTAAATATTTCGGATAACAGATATCCTTCATCAGTATGATCATGATGTAAAATGAATCATGTCAATCTATTCTGATTATAATATCACAATCTTGAAATTTATACAATAAAACAGTTAAAGCGAACATCAGAGACGCTGTTACAATTTTACCTGCGTCGTGTTTGGAAATTTTATTAACAATTGAAGTCTATTATGAAAACAAAAATGAAAAATGGATGCTATGGTGCAAAATATATTACCCTGTATCGTAGGAAAAAAAACGAGTCCGAAAATCTGACACAAATTCCGAAACTTCACTTAAGTACATCCTTAACTGCTTTTGTCTAGGATTTCAACTACCCCTCTTTGTTATTCGTCTGCTGATATCTTTTTAAAACTATTTTGTTGATTGTACAAAGTTATACGTTAGTGATTGTTTTTATCTTGTTATCTCTTTTTACTTTAAAAAAAAAAATGGTTGTCAAAGCAAGACATGGTTAATGATTTTATTAATTTTTACGTTATAAAAGGAATATGTGATATGATGGCAAAATCAGACAAATTTCAACAAGACACAAAATGAATAAAAAGTAAGCAACTATAAGTCACAAGGAGGACGTAAAAATGAACAACACCCAGACCGGAAACCAAGAATTTGCAGGCTTCGATATGAAAAAAGGTGACATAAGGCAAACGAGATTCATGATTAGTGTTTGCTTTACGCCGCATTAGCGCATAAGGGCTATATCGCGGAGAATCCTAATTCAACTCTTTTTACAAGTTTAAAGTCTATTTTTTTAATCAGACAATATACTAACACTCAAGTCTAAATCAAATTTTTTTATTTACAAATGCAATCCAACGCTTAGACAACGTGATAAGATTTAAAATCATTTTAAATTTAAACAACATTTCTATATTTTATCATATATTCCAACTTCTTTTAAGAATGAAACAATATTTTTAATTGAAATAATTCATATTATTGACAGTATTACGCTTCCTACGAATATCAGCAAAGTCAATACAATTAATTAAAACATGTTTAATAATTGAGAATGGAAAGGGGGAATATGTTAAAGAGACAACAACCCGACCAAAGAGCAGACAAAAGCCGACGGTCACCAATGGGTCTTCAACGCAGCTATGAATTTCTCACCCGGAGGTGGTCCTCAGCTTGCAGTTACAAGGTATACATTGTTCATTTTCATTTTTCAGAAGATGGTCATGTGTTATTCTAGTATATCCAATACGTCATCTAGAAATAACACATTAATCTTTTCTGCACATAAAAAGTATTAAAAGGTTTACCTAATTAAGTTTGATTTCGTGTAATTTATTATCATCTTTTTTTATTTCATTCATTTTCCAATATATTAAAAACGTATTCTCTAATTTAAGATCTTAAATCGGTATATGGTATATCACAGTTAGATAAAGGATCACCCAGGGCATTTTTGTTCTGTTGCTTCCTGATCCACAACCGTTTTTCCATGGATTCCAATACGACTCGGAACCTATAAAATAATTCTTTCTGTATGAAAATTTTTTAAACATTGCATAAAAAATCTTGAGAATTATCGTTTTTTAATTTTAGTATGTTGTATGGTTTGTAAGCATGAAAGTGAATCAGAACATAAAATAAATTTGGATTTGTCTGAAGAAGCAATTAATTTCAAAGCCTTTGCTTCAGCAGTAAATATTGATGCACCAGATGACCAACAGAGAGTCGCAGGTCTGTCCCAAGAGACAATAGCAGATGCACCCCGGTTACCATCCTTCGATCCATATATATAAACAGTTGAAAAATTTGAATACTTTGCCTTAAATTCAGCAAAATAATGTTAATTAAAAAGAGGGTTTGTTTTCCTTTTTTGTATTTATCATTTTCTGTTTTGGAAGTTCCTATGGAGGAATTTTAATTTCATGTTTTGCAATTATATCTTCAAAAATGGGATTAAAACACAGTCGTAGGCCGGAATTTTTTGGATATGCTTTTAGCTTGACAGCGTATTGAAGTCCAAGCTTCAAACTTCTGTTGTAGAGAGAGTGCTTATGAACCTCTCTATACAGACTCTCAACAATGCAAACTAGAAAAAAATACGGATTCAAACATAATGTTAAAGATAATAAACGAAAACAAAGATGATATACAAAAAAGATAACAAACAACACCTACTGAATCCGGTTTGTGGCTTTAGACAGTCACATACAGTATGCCATTTATTGATTATGGAAATGCACATTTGTGTTGAAAACTTATTTGTATACTTATTCGGGAATGTTTGTTTTTAAAACCTTATCAACATAGTACAATACATGTTATACTTCACACCATCGATTTTATCGATGATGTTTTGTCAATTTTTCAATCTCATTTGAATTCGTACTCATGAAATCTTAAATGTATCCATTAGCTTGACATTAGGTACCAATGTGCTACGCATGTTCAGTTATTTAATACAAAAACGCCAATAATGAAATGTGAAAAGATGCGAGTCAATTTAACCGGAAGAACCGTTTCGTTCAATAGTTAAATCTCTTTTAAATCTATCGTAGACAAGAAAAACTTAAAATTTATCTCTGGTTTTTTTAAAATGTGTTTCTTAAATTTTAATCTTGTGTTAAATCAGTACTTTTCCAATGACATATTTTTTTCAATTTACAGGTTAAGTTTAAAACACTGCCATTGTATGCCAAATATTACCAAAAAATCTATAGCATGACCCATTTACTGCAACATGCCGAAAATTTGTTTGTTTAACCATGCTTTACAGGCATTAATAGTATCAATGAATTTTCATATCGTTATTAAGATAATAATTTTGAATCTACTGATTCAACTATAATCATGTGTGCTGTTGAGACCCTTGTTAATGTTCAATGTTTGATGGTGATGAACTTCCAATATTTAGTTTTTAAATCTACTTATTCTGAAGAAATTAAAACTGGTACCATGTAGTTAAGTATTATTTTGTATAGATCTGAAGATTTGTAGCAAAACAAAGCATGACGTTCATTACCAAACATGAGAGGGTTTCCAACAATACATTAGCATGTCAAATTCTTTCTCACACATTTCTGAAGCTATTTACGTTTGAATGTCTCTATTTCAACTATACATACTACGCTTTAGAGCATCACTTAATGACTCATAACTGGCAAAAATTGCACTTTGTGAAACTATAAACAGACGAGTACGGACACTATATAAAAAAGAAGATGTGGTATGAATGCCGAGAATAATTCTCTACAGGAGAACAATTGACATGAAATGAACAACTATAGGTCACATTATGTCAATTTGATTTTCTGTCGTCTGCATATAACATATTGACGTAGGTTATGTATTTATTCCAATCTCATTTCAGGTTGCATTGTAGTTTCTTAAAACTCTCTCACCGTGTTGCTAATGAGTGACTGTCTTGAATATGCTTTAACTATTTTCAACAGGGAGAGAAACAAACAAAAATATCATCCTGTCTTAAGCTAATTAACTTAACATTCCAACTACAAAACAAATTGTATTCCGTCTCGTAATCAAGATAATTTTTTTTTTGTTTGAATTCCGAAGACAGTTTAATGTTTTCTCGAAAAGAAAAAAACACCCACTTATTTTAAAATAAAACAACTCGTGTTTCAAAATCTGATTGTGTCGAAAATATAAAATTGAGAATAGGAATGGGGAATAAGTCAAAAAGACAACAACCCGACCAAAGAGCAGAAAACAGCCTAAGGCCACCAATGGGTCTGCAATAAATTTTAACACCACACGTTTTCACCTTACCAAGTAAAACACAATAGATAGTTCACTTTTATTTGTTTTAATTAATTCTATATTTAGTTTGACACACTTTTAATTGTAAATTATACTAGATAAAGATAACGTCCAAGATTTCTGATTTATAAAACTGGTTTTTGCAAGTCCAAAATCAAACACACTAAGACCAAAGAAGACAGAAACACCCCAAGCAAGTCTTTGACGATGTCAGAAGACACTTGTGAAACGTGGAAGTATTTTGTTACTGTTTCAAACGTCGTTCATCCACCAGACGACTGTTGGCATACAGATGGAATTTAACGTCCCCCATTAGGACCATGATCCATAATGTTTTATAGTCATCTGAAACAGATAGAGAGCTTTATGAAGAAGATACATATTAAGATTGATTCACAATATCAATTCAAAATAAGATTTTTGATCTATTCAAATTCAATAGAATGTAAAAAACTTCAAAAAAGTCGATATATCGTTCGTGTTGGGACAGTCAGGATTCTTCTTCTTCAAAATTATCTCCTCATGACGCCACCTATTTTTATAATCGCAAAATCAAAGCCATTGTACTGATGGCACGCTGACAATTTATCTTTTTGAAAACTGATCAATTTATCCACATAGCATCATTACGATCCTTATATGCCAGTCTAATTTTAAAAATACAAATGAATCTACTATCTATTTAGCATCATTTAATGTACTTTGATGCATTGTTGTGTGTTTATTTTTTCAACATTGGCTAGAGGTATAGGGGAGGGTTCAGATCTTAAAAACATGTTTAACCCAGCCACATGTTTGCGCCTATCCCTAGTCAGGAGCCTCTTGCCTTTGTTAGTCTTGTTTGATTTTTAATTTTAGCTTCTTTTATGTATTTCGGAGTTTAGCATGACGTCCATTATCAGTGAACTAGTATACATTTTTGTTTCTGGGCCAACTGAAGCACTCCTCCGAGTGCGGGAATTTCTCGCTGCATTGAAGACCCATTGGTGGTCTTCGGCTGTTATCTGCTCTCTAGTCGGGTTGTTGTCTCTTTGACACATTCCCCATTTCCATTCTCAATTTTATCTGATCAACTTAGAACTATTATCTGGTCGGTTGTCAAGGTGAATTTACGAAAAAAAACTAATTAAATAATTCGTGGACATACTAATACTGTTCAGAGGTGGCTTACTTACTATCCTAGTTACACACATAAGTTCTTTTGGAAGATATGCATTTTTTAAGATCCACTTGGAAAGTCTATCGGCAAGTAAAGTATGCAAAAATGTGTTATTCGAAAACACCTAGTCTGCTGTTATTACTCTTTAGAGAGATATTTCAATAATTGTATATGAGAAGATGTGGTTTGAGTATTCAAATCACTTATAAACCATTATAAGTCAAAGTACAGCCTTCAACACCGACCCTTGCCTCACGTCAAACAGTAAGCCAGTGACCCATATATATCATTTTTAGCAATTAAAATGTTAAATGTAATTATGTCAACCTAGAGTCTAAATATATTTACAAAAAAAGGATCTGAAGCGATATGATGTATGAAATATTTTTCTTTTATACGTAGCCATGGCGTTGTCAGTTTATTTTCAATCTATGAGTTTGACTGTCCATCTGGTATCTTTTGTCTCTCTTTTACAAGACAGAAAGTGTAACTCAAACCCGAATACACATAAAATGGTGTACTCGACTATCTCATTTTGATGAAATTATTGCCTATTTTGGGGATATTTTTCCCAAACAATTACGACGCGGGCAGAGATGCAAATTAATGTTTTATAGATATCAATATAGGTTGCACTTTGTATATACATCTGTTTCTTAAATCACGCCTCTTTTTGGGGTATATATAATATTCATAGATAATTAATTTTGTTTACGTACTGGTTCCCAGATATGATATCTATGTTTCCTATCGAAGAGACATAACTTAGGAATGCTACCAGTAAATATGCATATGCATTTTGTTCTAAATGAAATCTATGGGAACCCTAAAGTCAAGGTTAGGGTAGTAAAGAATTTTAGTGTAGGTTTAAACTCTGAGAAGTTCGGGGCATATAAATGTTGAAAATATGCCGCACAGTCCTATATTTTTACCTTTAAAAAAAATAGAAGTGCATATAAACTTTCCATTCAAGGATATAATTTTTTTTTCAAAACTTCGTAGTAAAAGTTGTACAGTTTTAGCCGTAAAAGGAGTTCCTATGGAAAATTGCATTGTAGATATTTACAGTAATGCAACCTATACTATCTTTCTTTGGAATATTTTTCGGCAAAATTTAGGCTTATGCACAAAAAAGATCCACAAGTATTTAAAATTGAAAATGGAAATGGGGAATGTGTCAATGTGTTATCATTTGCACATACACTAATTGAATGTTTTGGGAACATTTAACTAAAATTTAAAAGTTTTTAAATACACGCGTGTTTAACTGCAATACATTTAAGATGTGGTATTTTAAAAGTAATAATAAACGGGTGATAATTAATCAAATATGTTTAAGACTTTAACCAAATATATCAATTACTAGATATTATGATTGCATCATTTTCTGATCGCACTGCGCCATTTTTAAAGGAATTAAATTACACTAAAATTTGTTAAGATACACAATCACTTACCTCTGACATTCTCATCTTCTTGTATTTATAAATTATAAATCCTGTAAGAAAAGTGTAATCTGCGTTAGTCGTTTATGGACATTTCGATATGACGTTCTTTATTCGCCTTTGAAACAATTCTAGAAGGATGTGGGCTTAGCCTGACGTCACAACAAAATTTACAACGCCAATTGTAGTTTTTACATCGCTAGAGATCAACATACACATTCGTCTTGGTGCTGCTGGCTAGTTAATTAAATAGAATATATCCAAGGGAGCAACCCTTTCACCTCAAAGGGGAGGGGGTAATTTTTTTTATATCGTAAACCGGTTGACTTTCTACTTGTATAACGCTTTGGCTACTTCAAATAAAAGTAAATTGTATTATTGTAATTATTATTATATTATATTATTATAACTGTCCAATTCGAAATAAAAAAAAGTTCTACCTTTTTCTATTAAGAATCGGAATAAATCTATCATGCCATGCTCCATACTTCTTTTAACTTGTGTAGGCAATATAAGTGTTAACATTTTTCACCTAGCTTTGCTCCGTATACAGATATTGATACATAAAATGCCTAACCATGTTAAAAGGAAACATAGAGCATAGCATGAATGACTATCTTTTTTTAATTTATCTAACTGTATGTGGAGATTTAGATAACTGTGTGGTAGTGATTCCGTTTGAGTGTTCTCTCGTTGATACATACATCTCCTCTAATATATTTTTGATTGGTTTAATCTCGAAAAATGTCTATTACAAGTCAGGAAAACGGAAGTAGTTTTTTATTCATTCCGTTGGCTTGTAAAGTCTACCGTTTGATTTTGTTATTTTATAAAGACTTCCCCCTCTTTTGATTACTTTTGTGTTCGCTTGTCTTAATACTGTTCTGTGTGGGTAACACTTTACATCGGATTCAAACATTTGAGAAATTAAAAATAATTTAAAGCTATCTAGAATAATAGATAGAAATAGAAATGCAAAGCCGCAACTGTAAAATATCAAATTTGAGTCAACAACCAATGAAATCAACATTTTGTAACTCGTGCGTTCAAATTGCATTTCAATTTTGACTTTGCCAACATTTTCAAAATCAAATATTTTAAAGCAAATTATGTAAAATAACCCAAACAGTTAAAGACCTATATAACCAAAAAATACCTAAAACATTTCCCGAAACAATGCTTTGCATGCAGGAGATTAAACCTTAGCTTCTAAAACTTTCTAAACTTACAAACTGACAATTTAAGAACGGATTTTAAAAAATAATGTCTTTTGACTTAAAGTTTTCACGATATTTGCTTTACTATTCTAGATGTGTATGAGCTGCAAATTAGCTCTTGGTTTAGAAGGATATTAAATAACCAAGGTTTATTATTGAAACTATTTAAAATCAAATTACTGGTTACTATATTCTTTCCACGTTATAGACACGATAATACATTGATAAGAAATGATAGACACAAATATTCATGCAATCAAATAACAAAATATTACATTGTTTTGTGTATTCGTGAATAGTCGTTATACGTTTTATTTTATTTCTTAAGTTAAACGTTTCTAAACTTTTACTTAAATAGTTTCATGATATCTTAGACATTGTCATATGATAAGTTCATAATTGGGTTTAGATATGCTTATATTTAATTTAATATTTAAATTCAACTACATGTCTTACTTCTTTTACGAACATCGCCATGGATATGAGTTTTGACTTTACATTGTTCTTTATCTTTATATATATAAATTCGAAATGAACAAATGCGCAGCATATTAGTCAGACCAGTGATTAAAAGCTTCTTCGACTGTGATAGGCTACACTTTTGATTAAACATTTAATATTCGGGCATGGGCGTTCAGATGCGGAGTATGTTTATTTTTACTTGGTCTGTTTTCTATAAAAACGTGTTAAAATAGGATACACCAGTAAGGTATGACTTTCTGGGATCTGTTAATGTGATGACTTAAGATTTAGTTTAAAATGAGCATGCTACGAAGCTTAAGTAATCAAGAGGGTAATAAAAAGAGTATATGAGTCAATGAAAAAAGGTAAAAGCAAAGTCAAAGGAATAAACAATATACATACAATAATCAACAAACACAAAAGGTTATGAAGACTAAAGTTACACTTAAATATCTATTTAAATATATAGTCACTTACTTTGATATATTCATCTTCTTCTTGTTTTTTAATAATTTAAACACCCTGAAAGAAAAGTGTAATCTACATTTTTTGTTAATGAATATTTTACAGTGAAGTTTTTCTTTCGCTTTGGAAACAAAGTCATGTTTAAAGTCAAATAGAACATAATCTGCACGTGGTTGACGTCATGATTGAAATTGTAAAGTCATTTGTATTCTGAAGAGTTCTGCAGATAAAAAAACCTTTCACCAGATTCCAACATTTTTAGAATTTAACAGTTAATTGAATGTTAAACAGGTCAAATTAGGATAGCAAAGCCGACACAGCGACACATCTTATTTGGGTTTGGAAAAAAATAAATCAACGCTGTAAAATTTATGTTGTAGAAGCGCATTTATGGGTCTAACTTCATGTTCAAAGCCGTGTTTTTGAAATCCAGGGATGAAAAAAATACCGGAACAGATTTAGAAGTAAAAGGACATAAAAAGTAGTCAAAACTATGTCAGTCCAACTTTTCTTTTTGGATTTGAAATCTATATATGTATATAGTGAAGTAAGTGACTATATATTTAAACAGATAAATTGCGGTTTTTATCCAACACAATCATAGGTTTGAACGTTGTTTTCAATTTAGACATGTTTATATTTTTTCGTTTGGGCTTGTATTATATTTTCCTTTGGGTTTATATGATCCGTTCTTCCTATTTCGACTCTTTAAATTTCAACAGTCTATCCTAAATTGAGGTAAATTATATGGCCTTCCAAATACCGTTTCGATCCCTAACATCACTGAAGAGACATTAATTGTCGAAATCCGGATATGGTGTACAAATTTTTGCACCTCATGTTTGCGGTATACCATCTTCTCCGCAAGTTTATTGTTTTCTGTTTGGTATTAAATTAATAATTAAGATCCATGTTACATCTCGTGATCAATTTTTTTGGCAATCAATCGTCAATGGCATTCAGCAGGGTTAAAGAACATCAGTTGTTCGACCTGTTAGTCAAATGCGATTTGTTAAAAAACTTTTAACTTTTTTGGTCTTTTGGAAAATGTTGTTTGTGCTGTATATATATATGATATATAGTTAAACTGATAATTTTAGAACAAGTGGTTAAAAATCATACCAGTGCCGAGCAACTGCTAATAATACCCTCTGAGACTGAAATACCCCACTTGTAGTTACATATTCAATAGTCTTACATTTTCATATTTGTTAACAAATAAAACTAGAGGCTCTAAAGAGCCTGTGTCGCTCACCTTGGTCTATGTGCATATTAAACAAAGGACACAGATGGATTCATGACAAAATTGTGTTTTGGTGATGGTGATGTGTTTGTAGATCTTACTTTACTGACAATTCTTGCTGCTTACAGTTATCTCTATCTATAATGAACTTGGCCCAGTACGTAGTTACAGTGGAAAATATTTTGTAGAAATTTACAAAATTTATGAAAATTGTTAAACATTGACTATAAAGGGTAATAACTCCTTAAGGGGTCAATTGATCATTTTGGTCATGTTGACTTATTTTTAGGTCTTACTTTGCTGTACATTATTGCTGTTTACAGTTTATTCCTATCTATAATAATATTCAAGATAATAACCAAAAACGGCAAAATTACCTTAAAATTACAAATTCAGGGGCAGCATCCTAACGACGGGTTGTCTGATTCATCTGAACATTTCAGGGCAGTAAGATCTTGACCTGATTAACAATTTTACCCCCTTGCAGATTTGCTCTAAATGCTTTGGTTTCAAAGATATAAGCCAAAATCTACATTTTACCCCTATGTTCTATTTTTAGCCATGGCGGCCATCTTGGTTGGTTGGCTGAGTCACCGGACAAATTTTTAAAACTAAATACCCCAATGATGATTGTGGCCAAATTTGGTTAAATTTGGCCCAAAAACCAAATTTGGCCCAGTAGTTTCAGAGGAGAAGATTTTTGTAAAAGATTACAAAAATTTACGCAAAATTGTTAAAAAATTACTATAAAGGGCAATAACTCCTTAAGGGGTCAACTGAGTTTCAGAGGAGAAGATTTTTGTAAAAGTTAACGGACGACGACGACGCCGGACGCCGGACGCCAAGTGATGAGAAAAGCTTACTTGGCCCTTTGGGCCAGGTGAGCTATAAATAGTTACAACTTTTATAGTCATATAACTCCATGTTTTTCAACATATAAAAATAGTAATTTTCTTGAAACTTGAAATTTACGTTAACTGAAGTTTTTATTATATTTGAGCAAATTATCTAGCTGTTTATGACCTGCAAGGTGACTTCAGTTTCAGACGGATAATATATATTCCCGGTTTAAAAATCAAACCATGTTTAACCGAATCACTGGTTATTATAGTTTTTTCTATGTTATAAGTACGGACTGTTTTAACTTCTTAACTGTTTAGAATAAACAATTGCAATTGCAATTTAAAGGGTGAAGACAGGATATTTATATATATCATGTATATATAATTCGTCTAAATCAAGGTTCAAAATAGTTATTTCTATTTATTTCAGATATTTCTTTTAATTTATAATAAAATTGCTTTTTATGATTTTGGCAACTGCTCAACAAATATGGACCCTAATATGCATTCATGCAAGATCAAAACACAAAATATAATACAACACCCCGTGTGTTTATATTTTATTTCTTAAGTGAAACGTTTTTAAACTTTTCTAAAATAGTTTCAGTCTGTTATTATATAACATTATGGATGTTGTAATATAATAAGTTCAAGATTGGGTTTAGAAATGCTAATAGTGATCGGTTGAAATTGATTTTTAAAAATTCAATGACATGTATTATTCATGTTTTAATTGTTCTACCAACTGCTCCATGGAGACGGGTTTTAATCTTACTTCTATAGTCTAAACCTATGTTGCACAAATACAAAACATATAAACCAGGCAATTGATTAATAGCTTCTGTGCTAAAATTAGAATGATTCCATGGTATCATTGTCAATTTATCATGTTTATCGGATATACACTTTAGATTGGCCTATTTTACCGATTTGCCAAGGAAGAAACACGACCAAGGATTCGTTAAAATTTTACACAAATATCTAAGAGGACGAAAGTATATTTTATCGTGAAAAAAAAAGTTAACACGTAGAGACATTTTTTAATGTTCTTCATCATTAAGATTCTACCTTTCAAAACCAAATATACATAATGGAACGCTTTCTTTTTTCTATTTTACAATCAATTATTGCCACGCTTGAATAAACTTTTGCTTAAACAATTATTATTGAGACGTAGGTGTACTCATTGATTGTTAGTCAATCATATGTTTCCTAGGTCAGAAAATTATATGAACACGTGTAGAAATATAATAAAACATGACAAGTGAGGATTTTTTGGGGGGATACTTTGTTTAAGGTCTGATTTTTCGAGATTGTTTAACATTATAAATTAGGCTAATTAAAAGTTAGCATGGTTTAAAGGCATCAAGAGGGTGTTAAAAAGATGTATGAGGCAATGAAAATACATAATAGCAGATTCGAAGGAATTAACAATTAACATTACACAATCTAAAAAACATTATAACCGAAAAACAAAACTATTGAACTCGGTGGTCTGGAACGATGGTCAGTCGAAATTACATACCACGTTGAAATAAATCATTGATTTAAGTGAAATATAATGAGATACATCAAAACATTATTCATTTTAGCCATGTGAAATGATATTTTATACTCTTTCAACAGCATTGCGATCGTGGACATTTTGATATAATAATATCTAAAACTTGTATTTAGAAGTTATTCATCGCAAACGTATTGTTATAGGCAGCAACATAAAGCCTCTCATATAAATTTCACGAATATACTCTATTATCGGTGACAGTAAAAACTCAACTTTTGTTTTTTTTGGTTGGTTGTAAATCTAATACCAAAAAGATAATCACGGATTCGATTAATAAATACAGACATAGATGTGACAGCAAAGTTACTGCTTGCACTTACAATACAAACATTTATTTTGAAACGTATTTGCATTTTGTTATGGAGTTTAATATATGTGTAAGTGACGAAAGCAATATAGAATATGATTACACATACAAATATGCAAGCTGAAAATTAACAAACGATCGACACATGATAGAGTTTTAAGATCAAATTAAAAAAAAAACTAATATTATGTGAACGATGTATATTTTGAAACATTAACAGGTTTTATTTAGTTAAGAAAGTTAATGGAAAACATAATATATTTAATGATTTACATTATACACATACCTTCTTCAACAATTGAAAACAGCCTATGCTGTCAAATGAAATCTCGGAAATAAATAGCGATATGATCAATTTCTTTCGCTTTTATACACAGAAGTCATGTGATCCCCATTATATATAATCATCGTGAGTATGTCTTTATGTTGGATCAGGTGCAAAACATTTTTTTAGATTTGTAAATTTTACCGTTATTGTTAATGTCTTTGTGTGTTCATAATAAATAGAATTCCTTTCTGATCACATGCTTACAGATATTTCCAAAAGGAGCATACAAAAACTTCTCATACTAGTATTCTAATATATTAAGCCAAATTAAACCTTTCGAAGTTTCGATCCTAACTTCTCAACGTTGGGGTATATTTTGCCTGTTTGAATATTTTTCATTCGAGCGTCACTAATGAGTATTTCTATTCGAACCTTCCGCCTATCGTACATACTTTTGAATCCTGATATCTATGCGTATGAAGCGTTTATGATAAACAAAGAGACATGCTAGTATAATTTTTCTTTCTTTTCTTTCGCTTCTATTTTTTTTTCTCGGATAATTACTACCGAAAACAAATATTTATAGCAATTGAAAATTGTTAAGTGGTTATAGTTTCATTTCCCCCATAAAAAAGCGAACTATTGACACTCGTTTTAGTAAACACCAGTAACAAGTTGCATTATTTGATGGTCCATGCCAGTAAATAAGGATAGGAGTGTGCCTATCATAAGAGGAAAACGATGGTAATGCATATTTTCAGGCGGTCAAACTATTTCGAAATATATTACACTTTCCTAGAGATGAATTCGTTTCCCATAAAATTATAGTATGTACTATTTTAATTTTTTATCTATAGATTATATCATAAAATTCGTTGTTCAAAGACTTTAACTATTCATGTCAAACAAGAATTTTCGGCTTTAAATACTGGTCACATATTTAACTATTCAGGACCTGCAAAATCCTTGTTCAAACCCTGGTTCGGCATATACGTTTACTCATTTACAAAAATGAAGACGCAAACTAAGTTCAAATTCGTGTGACCATTTCTTCGTGGTCAGCTATCTAAATATTGTGGTTTTTAGAAAGATCTGACATTATAAAAAAATCAGTTATGTATTTCAAAGAAGATGTTAAACGTTGAAATCTAATATTTTAAAATTATGTTTCTAAGAAAAACAAGAAGCAACGCTTGTGCTAATGACTATGATTGTAAACGGATACTTTAATTCCAGTGTCAGATATTACAAGCATGTTGAGTCAGCAATATATGCATTCAGGAAATAATGCAGGGTAGTTTAATAAGGGGAGATTATAATATTATTCCAAACCGGATTTTACTGCATACGTTTACACCTGAATGAATGAATTAAAGAATTAATGAAGGAAGTAAGGAAAGAAGGAAGGAAGGAAGGAAGGAAGGAAGGAAGGAAGTAAGGAAGGAAGGAAGAATGAATGAATGAATGAATGAAATTTTCCCAAATAAAAAATGTTAACGTTATTCAATGTTCGTCGTATGATCAACTGAAAATCGCTGATATAAATAAAATCAAATACCACATATATTATATAAAACGCGAATGAACAGCCCAAAAGATTAATTATACATTTCATTATCTGTCCAAAGTATTGTTCTAAGTATACTTAGTATATAATATACTATTTTCAATGATATGGGCAAATCAGCCCCAATACGGATAAATTAGCATGTGCAATACTGGAGACGTTGTCCTGTCGATAAAAAGCAGGAGCTTATATTAAATTCTGGACAGCGCCAATACGGTGGCCAATACGGAAAAAGCCGTATTGGCCCATGACGTTCACTTCCAGTTTTAACGCCGAAAATAACTTAAGAACACTTGCTCGAAATTTAACTTTGGACGTATCATTATGCATAAAATACATTTGTACTCATATTTTTGAACTTTATATAATAAAAAAGTTTAACTGATGTTCAGTGTTTTACAACAGAAATATTTTAGAGCCTTTTCGAGTACGACTATTTTTCAATTTCATTTCCGTTGATCAATCATCAGAACACAGACGATTGTAGAGCAAGAATAGTTAAACTGTATGATTTATCCTTCCCATGTACCTTCTATTTGCTAAATAAAAAAAAGATGCGAAAGATGCCAGAGGGACATTCAAACTCATAGATTGAAAATAAACTGACAGCGTCATGGCTGAAAAAAAAAAAAAACAAACAGACAAACAATACTAGTAGTACACAAGATACAACATAGAATATGAATTGTAATAGCATAAGATTAAGTACTTGGACGAGAAATCAGAAATTACATCTGATAATGTTGAAAAAAAATCCATCGTGAATGCGAAAAGACAAGTTCAGATATGAATTTCTGTATATTCCTTAACTTCAAGGTAAGTTACTTAGTTATAAACATTAAATAAAAGCGTTATAAACTGGCTGTTTCTGTATTGGCCCTGTCATGTGTTATAGATCAGCTGTATTGGATCTCTACTCCTCGAGTTTCAGGTCCAATACAATAACCTCGAATCTATAACAGGACCACATTAACACATTCTAAATTATTATTAAATATTTAAAAACAAATAAGAGTCACATATATCAATTCAGTATAGAGCGAAAATGTCTTTCGTTGCTAACTGTCAAATTTTGATAAAAAAAACTACAAAAGTAATAAAAGTAAATAAAACCTTATATTAACATAAAATGGAACTATGATACAAATCATTCAATACTTATATTAAACACATTCTGTCTTAATCGGCTAAAGCCCGCTGTATGCATTTTCTATAATCTATTTACAGCCAACAAAGTTAGTGTTTTACCTTATGTAATGCACTTAACTGTAACAATTCTATATTTAGATTGTTTTGTATATACACCTCTGTGAACAGTGATACAATACAAGGTCATATTTATCCTGAGCCGTCTGATATATGCATAGTTTTTTAGTAAAGCTGTAAAAGTTATGTTTTGATATAAGTATGGTAAACATTGTGGTTTACAAAATGCGCTTTAAACATTGAAATTTAGATAGACCTTAAACAAACACAATAAAGACATTACGTTATTAACGTTTTCAAACACATAGGGTTAACTTTGTATCGTTACACGCAACTTAGATAGGACAAAATGTGGAATATATTTCAAGATACAAAAAAACAATCTACACAACAACAAAAAAATTAAAAAAATTAAGTTGAAGCCAACCTGAATATACTACCTGCTAATAAAATTTGTCCAATAAATACGAACCTTACAAGATTAAGTTTTACCTTTATTGTTTTTGTTATTAATGTTAATGCAATGCTGCCGTTTTCTACGTAAAGATATTGATATAGAATAAACAGCACACTATTTTATTTTCAAAAAAATGGTCTTACCGTTAAACAGGAAAAACTAGCAGAGCCAGTAAAACCATTATAATAAATTTAGTCGCGGATCGGTTTAGCTGTTACCACCATAAGCTGCAAATGTATCGAAGTTCTGGTCAAAATGTATCGGAATGAAAGATAACAGTTACTAGGTTTTTCACGGGGAGTTTATTTTGGCACTGTATTAATATTGATAACATCGTTTGCTTAATACTTTGGCAGTGTCAATCTGTCCATTAATCAGTCTGGTAGTAGTTATAATCTTCTGGAAAACTTAATAAATTTTCTTTTTATATTTTAAAATTATATATCTACCAAATAGTTATAAAACTATGGATGAATGAACGACTGAATGACACACACAATACAATACTCAATTATTTAAGTTGAACATGTATTCGTATACATTTTTGATTATTAAGTCTTTAAAGATTAAAAAAAAAAAAAAAAATAAAGACAGTATTTCAACATGCATTATATTGGGATGTATATGTGTTTATAATATTTCGTTATTTTAGTAAGTTTGGTTCTATTTCTTCACAATAAGGTTGAAGCATCGTTGCTGTATGGTTGGCTTTGAAGTCAACAAGTCAACCATAGTTGATTCTGTATATTTTGCAACCTTTAATTAAACATTTTGTGGAGTAGGTTTGCGCATGTCTTCGACATGATTCATTTATTCGTTGGTTAGAAAAAAAAAACAAAAAAACAATATTCTGATACAGATAATACTTCTGTATACATCAAGTACGTTGTATATTTATTTCAAACGTAGAATATGTGGTCATATTATCTTAATTATTCAAAGGCTCTTGGTAGCGTGTTCGTCCCGAGTACGGGATGAGGTGGGTTCTCAACCGGCCGGTTAAATATACAGAATGTACAATTGAATCAGAATAATGTGTTCGGGTAGGGTAACATGGCATCCTGTTCAAAGTAAAAGCAAATATTAAAACAAGGAGTACAATTAAACAATAGTATAATTTGTGGAAAAAAATAGTTTGTTTCATATCATATCAATCACTCTAAAAAGGTAATGGGTTCTTAAAATACAAATTACCTACGTGTACCCGATAATTCTAGATAATACCATTCATATGATTAGGTCACGGGAATACTGCTTAGTATTGTCATGTGAGTGATCGAAAATTTACGTTTAAAAATAGCTCTCAAAAGTCTAAGTTTAAATATGGTTTATGGAATTTATGGTTAAAAATAGTAAATGAAAATTCCGATTGATAGTATTAATAGTAAACATTAATAGTTCAAGGCCCATGTCCGTCATGCTTCCTTTTCAAGCTTGTTTGTTGAATATGAGTCAATGATTGATATTTTTTATTTAAAAATAAAAATGAATGTACGTGTGTTTTGTAGTAAAACGTAGCCTATCATGTAAATAAAACAGGTGAAACTTGTTTTCAATTTGAAGTATCATATGAATTTAAAAACAATTTGTCAAATATAACTAATAAATATCCATACGTAACTACACAGTGTACTCCACATGATTAAGGGTTATCAGTCCATACTGCGTATTTATTTTTAGTATTAAATATAATAGATTATAGAAATTCCAAGTTATGATAAGATTAAATGGTTCGATAAAGTATGTCAAGGATTGTGTCTTTCATGTGTTCATCATGTTAACGTTTGGTTTACTGATTTCAGTGCAGTGTCGAGACTACTAAAACCAAATCGCGCGTCCTTATATATTAAAATGAAACCCTGCATTATTTGGCCATTTTTTAAAGTGCATGATAGTCAAACCTCGATCATGTGTTGATATGACATAGCACGGTCA